TTAATTTTACGTTTTATTTATTTTAAAATAAATATAAAATAAATAAAATAAAATAAAACATAAAATATAATAAATAACATGTACAATAAAATAAATAAAACAAAATTAAAATAGATAAAATGTAAAATAAAATAAAAAAATAAAATAAAACATAAAATAAAATAAATAAACGTACAATAAAATAAATAAAATGTACAATAAAATAAATGAAACAAAATTAAAATAAAAGGTAAAATAAAATAAATAAAAACAACACTTTTATTTATTTTAATGTACATTTTATTTTATTGCATGTTTTATTTATTTTATTTTACATTTTACTTATTTGAATTTTATGCTTTATTTAATTTTACTATTTATTTTATTTTACGTTTCATTTTAATTTTACATTTTATTTATTTTAAAATAAATAAATATAAAATAAATAAAATAAAATAAAACGTAAAATATAATAAATAAAATGTACAATAAAATAAATAAAACAAAATTAAAATGAATAAAATGTAAAATAAAATAAAAACATAAAATAAAATAAAACGTAAAATAAAATAAATGTACAATAAAATAAATAAAATGTACAATAAAATAAAATGTAAATTAAAATAAACAAAACGTAAAATTAAAATGAAACGTAAAATAAATAGTAAAATTAAATAAAACAGAAAATTAAAATAAATAAAATGTCAAATAAAATAAATAAAACATGCAATAAAATAAAATGTAAATTAAAATAAAAGTCTTGATTGGGGGTTTTCAATTCAATGTGTGGAGCGGGAAGGATGCGTGTTTGTGTTTATTTTCATGGTCATGATGTGCACTGAAGATGGTGCTTGATTTTGTTGTACAAGGAGCAATGACAATAAAGTAAACTAAAAGAAAGTTGGAGATCAACGCGTCACTGCACGTCAAGGACCAAAAACCCAACGCAATCCTAGGCTGCATTAACAAGGGATAGAATCAAGATCACGTGAAGGGTTAATACCGCTTTATAAGGCCTTGGTAAGGCCACACCTGGAATCCTGCATCCAGTTTTGGTCGCCACGATGTAAAAAAAAGATGTGGAGACTCTGGGAAGAGTGCAGAGAAGAGCTACAAAGAGGATCAGGGGACTAGAGGATAAAACATACTAAGAACGGTTGCTAGAATTGGGGATGTTTAGGTCTAATGAAAAGAAGGACTAGGGGAGACATGAGAACAGTGTTCCATTATCTCAGGGGCTGCCCCAAAAAAGAGAGGGAGTCAAGCTATTTTCCAAAGCACCTGAAGAGGCAGGACAAGAAGCAACGGATGGAAACTCATCAGGGAGAGAAGCAACCTGGAATTAAGGAGAAACTACCTAACAGTGAGGACAATTAACCAGTGGAACTGCTTGCCACCAGAAGTTGTGGCTGCTCCATCACTGGAGGCTTTTAAGAAGAGATTGGGCAGCCATTTCTCTGAATAAGGTCTTCTGCTTGGACTAGAAGTCCTTCAAGCAGTGATGGAATTCGTCCGGTTCGCACCGGTTCAAAAAACCTGGTTGTTAACTTTCTGAGCAATTTGGTGAGCTGGTTGTTGGAAGAACTCATTAGGGCAGAGAACTGATACAGATAATCAGAGTTGGAAGGGACCTTATAGGTCATCTAGTCCAACCCACCGCCCAAGCGGGAGACCCTACCCCATTTCTGACAAATGGCAGTCCAGTCTCTTCTTGAAAGTCTCAACTGATGGCGCTCGCACAACTTCTGAGGGCAACTTCTGTTCCACGGGTGGATTGTTCTCCTTTTTTCCTGGTTAAACTGGTTGTTAAAAAGTATTTGAATCTCACCGCGGATCTCTTCCAACTCTGCTATTTTGTTATTTCTCACCCGAACCCCGTTCCTTCTTTCTCTCCCTCCAGATCTGGAACCACAACCTGATCACAGATGAATTTCTGGGACAAGTCGCCTTGGTCGGAGACCCCAATGAGCTCCACCCTTTGCACATTCTCCACCTCCAAGACAGAGGGAGCAAACGGGTATCGGATCTGCCCGGCGTTCTTAAGGTGCAGCTGTTGAGTAGCAACGTTCTCACGAGCATCTGAGACCACAGAGCCTTGGGGGGGGGGGGGGGTGGCCTTCTCTGCTCTACGCCATCTTCCACTAGTTCCTCTACGTACGTCTCCCAGTGTGCTTGTCCGTTTGTCTCCATGTACTCCGCATGCCTTCACTTTGGAAATGGGACCAGCCCTGCCACGTTCAGTCTGGGTTGTTTTTCACAATTTGACACAAAAAGGTGCCTTTTTTTCCCAGAAGCCAAAATGCAGTGTTTTGCCCTTCTTCTTCTTCTTCCACCTCCTCTTTCTCTTCCTCTTCCTCCTTCCTTTCATCTCTTTCCCCTTCTTCTTCTTCTTCTTCTTCTTCTTCTTCTTCTTCTTCTTCTTCT